GGGGGAATGCTAATGGGTTCATATTCATCATATATCTCTCCCAATAAAGTTGACCAATATACAAGCATAACTAAATGATAAACCATTAACAACCATCTCAAATGAAAAAAAAAAAATGAAAAAAAAAGGGGTGATTTCACATGGTCCCCAGACTCCGAGTCTACAGTTCAGTTTTGCCAAGGCAAGGAGACCAGTTTATTATTGACATTGATACAACCAGGGGAAATAGTTGGGCAGGCAGAAGCTCCAACTCTTACCATCACCTAAATTCCATTCAGGGTGACCACAATATTGCGTGCAGTGGGGTGGTCTCGGTGCTCACATAGCCATATTCCCTGAAGCATCCAAAGTCCAATCAAAATTAGCCATTAAATTTTAAACTAAAAGTTTCATCTGTCCTAGCATGTGGCATTCCGTATATAAATCCATTCGACACACTGAACCAAGGATAGAAACCCTCCCCCAAACCTCAGACCTATTCATCAACCCTCCCCCATCTGATCTCTCAGTTCTACTAAATGCAGAAAAATTTCATACACACAGACTTCAATCCTTAAAACTTCATGTCATAACTTATCCTGATCCATCAGGCATTACCTTTGTTTCAATATGATAAAAAAGAATTATATTAAAGACCGGAAATATGCAAACACTAATTTAATATTGCTAATTCAACTGGGTGTAATAAAGAAAAGTCAAATCAAGTTAAACAACACTACAGATGTTTTGGTTTAATATAAGCCCTCCGTACATAAGTAAGAGTGGGAGAGGGAGAGAGGGAGTCCATCATATGGCTGGTTTTTGCTGGTAACACATAAGATAAGCCAATAAAGGAATGGATAAGCAGCTAATTACAAAACTATGTAAGAGAGAGAAAGAGAGGAGTCCATCATATTTTTGCTAGAAACAATCAGATGCCTGGTTGTTGCTGGCCTTTTATTTTAAAATAATTTTTATTACTATTTAATTAAAAAAGAAAAAACGAAAAAAGAAAAAAAAAAGATAGTTGCTTACAAGTTAAAAGAAGTGGAAAAGTGAACAAAAGCAGGAAAACTAGGGGGTAAAGGAGAATCCACCTCCTCATGAATACTTTGGAAAGATTCATAATATTCCTCTGGTAGTAATGGAAATGCGGTCAGTTCTTCAACTTCACACAAAATCTAGCTATGCTAGGTAATAATACATACATATAAATCCCTAGAATCAATCCTTAGATACTAGGTAATATTTTCCTTAGTTAAAAATATGCATAAATATTCCTTGAATCAAGGTCATTCTTTCAACACTCTCCCTCAATCTGAGGAATAGATATTATCCTTTTGTTAGTATATCGGTTAGTTGTAGTTATGGGGTACATAACTAATGCATACTATCCCCTTCTCCATGTTGGATAGGATTATGTGCAATGTGGATAGCTGATTTGTTGTCGCAGTACAACTTCATTGGATCTTCTCCCTTAAATTGTAAATCATCAAGGATCATCTTCAACCATAAGAGTTCACAAAAACCCTTGTGCAATAGCTCGAAATTCTAATTCGACAGATAATCTAGACACCACATTTTGCTTTTTACTCCTCCATGTTAACAAATTAACTCCAAGAAAAGTACAATACTCCATAGTAAATCTTCGGTCTACAAATGATCCAACATAGTTAGCATCGGTGCAATCTTCCAATGCAATGGAATAGTTCCGTTTGAACAAAATTCCTTTTCTTGAAGTTCCTTTCAAGTAACCTAACACTCTATATGTCGCCTGAAGGTAAGGTTCTTGCAGATCATGAATGAATTGAATAATTACACTTACGGAGTATGCTATGTCTAATCTAGTGTGAGCTAGATATATGAACCTCCCACTGACCTCTGGTACATTTCTCTGTAATGGTTCTTTTTTTGACTCTCCCAATTTCTAATGTGGATCCATCAGTGTTGGTGCAAGTTCACCTATGCTTTTCTTTGTTTCCATCAATAAATCCATCACATATTTCTTCTTGTGATATGAAAATGCATTGAGCTGAGTACGCTACTTCAATGCTAAGAAAGTACTTTAGTGACTATATGTCATCTACATGCACTAGAAATATTGCAACCCTCCTAGATTTTGAGTGCTTGATGGGTTTGAGGTAGTTTGCAGAAGAAACTTGATCATGATGGATGGTCGGCAACGATGAAGGTTTCACCGATTGTATTAGGGTTTTGGTTCTAATCAAATTTTCTAGAATAGAAAAGCTTTAATATCATGTTGCAATATAAACTATCTTGCTCACTTATTTTCAAAGAGATACAGGTTCGTTTTATAATACAAAAAAGACCAAAAAAAAATAAAATAAAATTTAGCTAGCCCTAGATATTAGGTAATAATACATATAAATAAATCCCTAAAACCAATCCCTAAATATTACCTCTGTTTAAAGGGATTACAAAAATATCTCTCAATTATATAAATATTTCTCTTGAACATTCAATTCAGTTTTGAAAGAAATAAGAAAGAAGGATTTAGCTTTGTCTACGGGATTCGTATAAAATTCTTAAGATGGAGAAGAATACTTCAATGTTGCTTGAATGAATGGACAAAATTGCTGAAGAAATAAGCACATAGAAGAAGAGGCATCAAAGTGAGTACCAACATGAAGTGGCAACAAATCCTGCATTGATTAGAGAACAAAGAGACTCAAACAAGCTCATTCTCAACGGGAATTATTGCATTACAGGAGAATATTTGGAGTTGCCAATTCACCCAAGGGAATATTCTGACACTTGAGTGTTCAACATAGAATGATCTTTTTAGTTGAATCATCTTACTGAAGCAGAAACACAAAAGACCACAAGTGTCAATTTAGAAGAAGTATTCAATTGGATTGAGTGGATGGATGGGAGAAAACTGATCCCAGATTGATTTTAAATTTCCACTGTTATCATAATTTCAGTCATCTTAAGAAGGCTTTACGTGGACATTTCTTGTTCTTAACAGGAAGGTAGCAGCCTCTAAGGAAAAAGCCATTTTGAAGCTTTGGTTGCACTCTTGGTAGACATGTACCACGAAGTACAGGTGGGAAAAAGACATTTTGAAGATTTTTTCGTTCATTTTCTTACGAAATTTTTATTATCAATGAAAATTTGTCTCCAATTAAAAAGAGGAAAAAGAAATAGAGCTTCAACAGGCAAGAATGAAGGATGAATATTTGAATCATGTTTCAAAGGGCCAAAAAGATTCATGTTTGAAGAGTGGAGATCTAAGAAGATCCAGGTAGTTGGCATTACTTTAATTCGAAGTACAAAAGTGGCAAGGCTATGTTTCATCTGATCAGGGTGGGAAATCATGTAGAGGCTTTATATCCATTTCCAATCATGACTTGAACCAATAAATCTAGTGGATTTCCTTAACCCTAATCAGGAACAGAACTTCTTTCTAAATGACATGCTAACCTCACGAAAGCCATCTACAATTACAACGTCAGATACTAAGTTAACCTGGTGATTGAACATTAAAGTACTTTTCCCATGCATTTCCAAACTTTTCCTTAAAGGATACAGCATAAAGTGAACCAAAAATGATAAAACAAGTACAAAAAAAAAAAAATCTGAAACACGAGCCTTACTTTTCATTTACTGTAAAGGTTATGAATCAACAACCTAACAAACACAAGTAGTCCTATCAATTAAAAAAATTAACTTAAACATATTAATTTGTTCTAACTAAATAAGATAAACAAATATGCACGAACAAAAAGAAAATATATAAAACAAGAAGAAAAAAGAAGAGCAGAAGAAGTAAGAAGAGAAGTTTTAAGTGAGACGAAAAGTTTAATCATAGGCAGAGAGAAAAGTTGAAAACCCAAAACTTCGGAAAGGTATGGATTACCCTTGTTCATGAGTATATAAGAATGCTAAGGAATGATTTATTCTCATACCAAAATTACAAATTGTGTACCAAACAAAGGAATATAACGAACTCTTTTCCATATTCACTATTAACAAAAATTGTTAGTTTTTTATTTAACGGAAAAACTACAATTAATAATAATAAAAATAATATTAATTAAAAAAAAAAGACCTACTAAACTGTACCTGCCAAGTACCCATATTAAACTTTCCATTTGTAATTGGAACCCTACAAAAGAATAACCACAAATGAGAACAGCAGGTCAACTAGGCATTTAATCCAGAAACAATGTCGAATAACCCACGTGAGTGCACAGCCAAACATTGATGATTTAATGTGCGCGGGCATGTCATCCGGGCCTGCATAATGAGCACAAGAACAAAATAATTTTTTTTGTCAATATTCCCCTGATCCATCTTAGTTGAGTATAAACTAGAGAGTAATGTTTTTAGAAAAAAGAGAGGCTTTCCAAACACTCTCTTCCCCCAATCCTATATTTCTTATGAATTTTATATGTGATGCTGAGGCACTTGCATTTCTATTTGAAAATTTAAATCTAAAAGCATGCAACAAAGAGTTTTTGTGGTATATAATACGTTTTGATAGTCGTTTTATTAGTCTAAGATTCATTCAGTAACTTCCAGCAAACAGGTCAAAGAATCCTTTTTTTTTTGTTGAAAAAAATCTTTATGCTTCCTATTCTTATCCAAACCAGTATACATATAAGTTCGTCAGTTACCCCTTCAATCATTTTTAGACGGCATAGAAGTATAGAACTTTGAAGGCTCAGGAATGAGTTAGCTTTTACTAAGATAACCCGTCAAATTAAAATGAGATTACTTCGCATAAACTCTGTTTCAGCCTACTTCCTCTTTATATATTCTTAACATTGGTTGGTCAATTTTACATTTTTCCGACGTTTTTTCATAAACTACCACACATCTATCATAGTCCCTCCTCCCTCGTAGCCAGTCAGCAGATTCATTAGCATCCTACACATTACAAGAGTTCAAATTGTGTTACAATGTTATGACGGAGACAAAATCCCGGGCCCTTTTTATAGTACAGTTTCTTTTTCAGTATATGAAATCAGTTAACTAAAAAAGAGGAAAATTCTTCTTAGTAGAATAAAGTAGAAGGAATTTTGATGACCTTCAAGTGTATGCTTCCAAGGAGCAGATGTACCCTGCAAACATACCCCCAAATGAAAGAGTGGGAGAGAGAAACAAAGGGTCAAATGGGAAAGCTTTCGATAAATGAGAGTTGCAAATGATAGAGGCGGATAGCAAACTAACTTCAGGCACTATATTGTTGAGGAAGGTTTCAGTATCACTCCGAACATCCGAATCATAGTTTTCATTGATGGTAAGAGAGGCACTCGTATGCTGCACTGAGACATCAGCAAATGATTCCACAAAGAAATCCAACTACACATTAATCTCCAAAATAGATAAACTAGATTAGAAGATTTACAGAAGATGTGAGCAAGGCCACATTTGAATTCTGACAAGTCCTTCCCAATTTCCTTCATTATCTGATATAGAAATCAAACTCAGTAGCAGCAATATGAGGAAAAAATTGCATACTAAGGTATAAATGAATAATTTTTCGTCTATTGTTAGGAAAAGTGAAACTGAATTATGTAGAGGACAGGCACCATTTAAACCCCCAGAAGACCAATACAAGATTCTAGATAAGGTGGGAGACGACAACCAATTAATCACCTTCGGGGTGATGAGATGACAGCCCCGCCTATGAGGAGGCAGCGTAACAGTCTTCTGAGCCCACTTCGGACCAGCGGCCGCCATCAAGCTTGGATTGCCGGCGCCTGCGGTGGCGGACGGATTACCCGTACTGGAATTGTTGCTCCACAGCAACTTCACGCGGAGTGGTTGCGCAGCCAAGAGAACAGCGCCTTGCATTATTTTGCAACCTAAAGCCCACAGAACCTACACTCACCGACCGCTCATCCGCAAAGCCCAACCGCCTATGATACGTGGAAAGGACAGCCCTACAGGCCGCAATCAGTAATTCCATTGAAAAAACAAGCTTAAAATTTTGTAATCTTTTTGCTTAATATTAATAAAATAAAATTTACTCAAAAATAAATTTAATAATTACACAACTAACTATGATTAACTTTATCAAAATTTATAAATTTCAGTAAAAAAAGCTACGGTTTATAATTTATTGAGCCATAAAAATATTTTTCAATGATAATTGGAGGGAAATGTTATTTGAGAGATTAAAATTGCAATCTTTAGTAAAGTTTAAGCTCCACCCCAATCTTTGTTGGGCTACGTCCTAGAACCTTCTTTGATCGTGAGATTTTCTAATTAAGGCAGAGCATTCTTCCTGATTAACCGGTGATTTTTCTATGCTTCTCTATTTGATTTTTATAGGCGAATGCAATATATATTAGTTCAACGTTCTCTGCCGGGGCAAAAAGAAACAGAGATGGGCAATGAGAGAAAATGGAGACGGTGGAGGCTTTTCATTGTAACGGGAGTGGCGGTCGCTGGTTTTCTGTTTTCTAGCAGCAGTGCTTCACAACTGGATCAACAGAAGGAGCCTCAGCCTGTGGTATCCAGGATTGCTTTTGGATCATGCGCTAACCAGGATACTCCTCAGGTTTGTTTGTCGTCGACGTCGTCGTTGCTGTTTTTTTTAATTAACTCTATCTACTGATCTAATCTGATTCTAACAATTTTGTATTGCGACGTCAAAGATGTGAAAAGACAATGTTGTTATTATAGGAGTAACACTGTACACCGAGTTGTTTTTTGCAGCCAATCTGGAACTCCATAGTCAACTTCGAGCCGCAAGTTTTCATTTGGCTTGGTGATAACATCTATGGTGACATTAGGCGTCCTTTCAAACTACTTGGTCGAGAAAGGACGGTGGGGCCATGGAAAAATGTTCCACGATTCGTTCCTTCATCTAAGCAGGAAATGATGCTCAAATACAAGAGGGGCAAGACAATTCCAGGTTATTCTAGGCTTAGACAGAGGACCAAGGTGCCTGATCCGTGAATTCATTAAAAAGTCTCGTACATTATTTGATTTTAACATGATTAAATTTTTGACGGTTAAATGAGGGTGCCTTTGTTTTTTAGTTAGTCTTTGTGCTGTTTTAGGTAATCGGTACCTGGGATGACCATGATTATGGATTAAATGATGCCGGAAAGGAATTTACTGAGAAGGCCACTAATCAGAAGCTTCTCCTTGATTTTTTAGATGAACCCCTTGATAGTCCAAGGTGGGAGTTCCTTTTCTGCTTCTACAGATTATTTATCTGTCCTAAGGGTTGCTTTTCTTCGGTTTGTCTTATTATCTGCTCTCCATATTAGTCTCTTACTTCCATTAACTGATATTAGAAAGTTGGCGTTGATATTTAAAATTTTTGTTATCTTTATGCATACCATTACTCTGTATGGAAGTATCCTGTACTACATCCACTAATGTTGGGTGATTGGATATGCAAGAATGAACCAGAACACTTTTGGTTCTTTTTTCCTTATACATTTTCTTTTTTTTCTATCTAAAATCATTTAGGAAATTCTATAGAAGTCTTAGATTGTTTTTTGTTGAACTGTACTTGTGAGTCCATTTGCCTCGCTGAGTCTCCTATTATCATTTCACCAACTTTTGGCGCTGGGCAGGTTTAAGTTTCTTAAATATTTAGTGTTTATCCAGGTGTGATTCAGAAAGCAATACCTATTTGGTAGATCATTTCAATCCCTATTGCTTGTGGAAGAGCTAAATTTCTGTTAAAGAGAGACTTCCATTCTCTTGCGTACAATCTAGGAACTTACAAACCAAGAACTCAAGAAATGTTTCCAAGAGCTCTTACCTTGTGAATATCCTTACTTGAACATAACCCTTCTCTCCCAAGAACTTGTATCTATCTTATTAATTCCCTCGGTTACTGCATCCTCAACAAGTGTTTCATAGGTTGACTTTCGACCTTTGCTACCCGAAGTATCTCAAGTATGCCATGGGCATGCTGCTGAAATTCACGTAGTGCAAATATGCGTACATTGTAGTTTTTCTCCTATCAATGGGCATGTTAGGAAAGGACATGCGTTAAAGACGGTGTCGTTTGTGTTTAGGTTTAGACATTGTTCAAAGACTTGAAGGGTATGTTGCAATGATACTGCAAAACAAAGCAAATCGCAATCTATGTCATACAGGAATATGATGCATCTAAACTCATATTAGAAGGGAACCTTGTTTCTCACATTCCATGAACTGCAATCGGAGGGTTTACTTTTCTTTTAAGTTCATTTTTTAAATGCTAGAAAAGAGATTTTCTGACCCTTATGGTAGTTTTTGTCCATCTGAGGACGTTATTTGTGAGTTTGCTAAGCAACATTACCTATGACACTTCAAATTGATAGTTTATTAGAAAAATAAACATCCTAATACTGCAGTGGTTAGCTTAAAATTCTCGCCATCCTTTTGTCATTTTTAACATAAAAATTATGAAAGGAATGGTATACCCAAGTATATTAGATTGAAAAAAGATCTGTACTTCATTTTTGGGTAAGGCCTACACCGTAGTGTTCATTGCGATAATTTAAATTTTAGAGCACTGTAATCCTTGGATTGTTAATTTACTTCTTTGTAGATTTTTTTCTGTTAAATTATTAACCATACTTTGCCTTTCTAGGCGCAAGCAGCATGGTGTGTATGCATCATACATGTTCGGCCCTATAGGTAAACAAATTAAGGTACGAATTATAGCTCTTTCGATGATTCTTATCTTCATAATTTGGCTTTAATGATGATGTATTTTGATCGTATTATGTGATTAGCCTTCAGATACCATGTTTATGACTTGGAGTTTTGTAGGTTATTCTATTAGATACTAGATATCACCGTGATCCGATGTTTAGTGATGGAACTATTTTGGGTGCTGCTCAATGGACGTGGCTGGAGAGAGAGCTTAAGGGTCCGGAGTCAGCAGTTACAATAATTGGGTCATCCATTCAGGTGGCTCAAGCCTACTTTGTCTACTAGCATATGCAACTTTTTCAGTGGATCTGTTCTTACACTTGCTCACCGATAAATCTTATCATGAAACCTCTTCTCTTCCTTGCGTATCTTAGCAGTTGTCAGCTTTATTTTTATGATATCGTGTCATAGTTATTCTACAATTCAGGTTATATCAAATCTTTCAGCAACCACCAGGCCGTTGTTCTATTTGGAGTCTTGGGGACGTTTCCCGAAGGAGAGAGAGCTCCTCTTCAAGTTGATTGCAGATAGCAAGGTAAAAATCTTTAGTGCATTTTTTATTAAAGTAGCCCCTGCTCTTTAAATTAACGAACTGCACACCAAAAGGAAAAAACACAGTGAGAAATCTTCAATATTTATAATTAAAAAAAAAAAAAAACCTTTTGTCCATGTAATTGATGAAGTACCAATTTAATCTCCATGTTTTCAATTTAATAGAAGTTTAAGTTTCAAAGTTTAAATTTGGTAAAAATTTAGTCACTGAATTTAGTTCCTGTAGGTTAGATTTCTAACAATTTAGTCTTAACTTTTTTTTTTATTAAGTAATGATTTAGTCTAAGTAATTTATAAACACATTTAGTCTTGGATGGATTTATCTATTTTCATACATAAGAAACACCATAATATCTTAACTAATATATATATATTTTATTGGGACTAAAAATTATTACAAATTTTAAATTACAAGGCTAAATGATTAAGGTAGTATTTTTATACCTAATTTATATATTATATGTACTAAAGTTCCAGTATGCATTATATTTTTCTTTCTTCCCGTGTTTCTATGGATTAAGAGAAATGGAGTTTTCTTTATAAGCGGAGATGTTCATTTTGGAGAAATTTCTCGCTTTGATTGCGGCGTTGAGTATCCGCTATATGATATAACCTCAAGTGGTCTTACCCAAGCTGTTGAAAGGGTACTTCCGCGACCATTACAATTTGTAGTAAGGTTTCTTGCGTGGGTGACGCCATCTACAATGAGAGTTATGGAAAGCAACTGCAGATACAAGTCCTGCACGTTCGGTATGCACATGTCGTCGCTTATTTCTTAGATTTTAGATGTTCTTCACTGTGTCATCTCCCTTTCGTGTATGGTTCCTCCTAGGGCAACCAAATTTTGGAGTCATTGAAATTGATTGGGATGCAACTCCAGTAAGACTTAAAATGGAAGTGCGGGATGCGAATGGGGTTGCTGTAGTAGGTGTCAACGTCTCTTTGAGTTCATTGCGTCCAGGAAACGGTGAGTATTTATCCAATAGTAATACGGGAAAGTACCACAGGCATTGTCTTCTGGAAGTTAGTTTGGGATGGATAGTCCGACATCGGCTGGCAATTTTGTTTTATAGTACCTTGACTTGTAAGTTCCGAAATATGCAATTATGTTCTGAAATTCTTTGCCAATAAATTTCTAACCCAGAACTGATGGTTTGTTTCAGTACTTCTTCTTGGTTCGCTGGGAACTGCTTATGTGGCCACATTGGCATGCAGGAGCTGCATCCGCAAATGCAAGCGTGACTAACCGGGCCTTTCCCCTTTCTTTCTTCTGGCTGTTGCTGGCGACTTTTACCGATTAGAGATTATTAGAAAAAGACTTCAAGATAAATTCACTGTAGACAGTTTCTTTTAGATCTTTATATTGAATTACAGCTTCATCCTTTTTAAATATCAGTGTTTTTTAGAATATTTGAGGTGTATAATGTACAATTCTCCTTACCCTTTTACCCCAGCGTGCATGTATAGAATTTAATATTTGTTATAAATTAGTAAAAAAACATAACATTTTCAAACTTCGCACATTTGAACAGTTCTGTAATATACTTTGATTTACGTACTGAAAACTTTGATACCCACATATTTACATTTCGTCCTTTATTTATCTTTTCCAATTATGTATTATCCAACAATATTTATAAATACTATGTTGCATGTAAAAGGTCCCGACTCCCAATGCATAATATCTTCATGTTTCATGTTTGAACGTCTAAAATGATGGTCATTATCCTCATTTCAAGTAAAATGAACCGGTTCGGTTCGGGTTTACAGAGATCACATTGAACCTTCAAGGCTTCGGTTCGGTTGAACTGAACTGAACCGACTCAAATGGTATGTTTTGCGTTTGGTTTTAGGGTTTCTCCACTTCGGGAACTTCGACTGTCAGCCAGGTCATCTCTCTCTCTCTCTCCGTCGTTCGCATTTGCCGACCCTATCACACTCCGCCACCCTCGCTCAGCCACCGTCGCCGTTGACTACTTACGCCATCGCTTCTTTCTTTTTTCTTTTTCTTTATCAGTTACTGTTTTCAGGGTCGAGAGAGCAAATCTGTATGCTGCCAGATTTTGCTCTGTGAATGGAGAAATGCTACGGTTGATATGGGCCTGATTCGCATTAGTCCTTGTATGGATGAAGCTGGCGGTAATGGATCTCCTCCATCTTCTCTTTATGTTAAAGTTAAAACGACAGAAGCATGTAGCCTTTCTTCTTAATCTCTATCATTTTACCAACTAAGACGATTCCTTATAAACTTATACTTGTCAGGAGGAGGAGGAGGTGGAGGAGGTGGAGGTGGAGGAGGTGGAGGAGGAGGAGGTGGAGGACGAGGAAGAGGAGGTGGAGGAGGAGGGCCACGAGTCTCGTAGGAAGAGGCAGCTTAGGACACGAAAAGATAAGTAGAGACTTTGTCGGGCTACTGGTTACGAATGGGGTCCGAGCAGAATAGATTCCCTCAGCAGGAACGGGTATGAGTCCCCTCCCTCACTGATCGTTCTGCTAACATCTAGTTTATTGCACGGGAATATGGTGGATTTTGCACATTGTTTCTTATAGCATTAGATCTAGGGTGCTCTAAACACCTTTTTACTTGTTTAGGCTTTGTATTTACTTTGAAGGCAATGCCACTCTTTTTTCTGCCTGTCCTCCCCTAAATCTAGTGTTGCGTTCTCTGCCAACCCCTTATTTCCTAACAAATCTATTCAATCCATCCTTCTTCTACTGAATTATTTTGCAGATGCGGATCCCATTTACTTGATAGTTTTTAGATTGCTTTTTGTTAGTTTTACCGATCTGACATGATGGATGTCACCTTCTCTTCCTGATCTGGCTTATGGTCATTCCACCTATGCTTATCATTTCTTAACATAAGTTTCAATTCTGGATCCCTTCTTTTAATGATAGTTTTGACTTACACTTTCACTTATGTGCCAGCTGAAGGTTTATTTATTTATTATTTTTTTAATAGTTTCTGTGGCTTGGGGTTTGTGGCTCTCCATGTAGATATACACAACACACGTACTATCATAGGTTGTAACAGGTTGATTGAATAGCGTTCTTCGTTGTATTGTCTACTAAACAGTTTGCATTTGTGGCTGATAAATATATTTTGACACCCATCCTTGTTGCTAAATGATTTAGTGGACTATTTCAGGAAGTAAAAAGGTAAGGTTCGGCGATGAGGGTTGATTTTGAGAAAGGCCTCCATAAGATTCAATTGGCAGTCGTTTTTGGTTGTTTTCAGGAGGCGTAGCTTTAGGGAGAGATGGATAAAGTGGAAGCAGTTGCTTTGCTAAAACTAATTTCTTACATTTATAGATGGTTGGCAGAAGGGGTAGTTTTAAAGCTTCTAGAGGCTTGAGACAGTGAGATTTGCTCTCTCTTGTTCTGTTAGTTTTGATATTCTTTTGCAGAATCTTAGAGTTGGATTCTGGATCCTTTGCAGTGTGCACTTGGATAAGAGTCTGGCAAACCATTTCAATTTGCTTATGATGTCCTTGTCTTCTGCACTAAACTTAATGAGTTGGAGACTCCATTAACAAAGATAAAACTGTATTTCAGGTGTTACTATGGAGTACCAGGAAAGTACAGGATTTGGGATGCCTCCTGCGGTTAATACTTTGATGTTGGACTTATGGACTCCAATAATTGAGAAATCCAGCATGAACTGGATATGTGGAAAGTTCCTTTCCTTTCAGAAGGGTGGCTGTTTATCTGTTCCTCAACAAGCTATCTTGTCCAGTATCCCAACCCACCCCTTTCGCTTTTTAAGTTTCCCAACCAAAGTGAGATCCTCAATTTATCAAGTGGGATATAGTTTTGTTGCGTTATGTAAGGGATTGTTAGGCTTCTGGATAATTTCGAGAACGACCCTTGCTTCCTAGTGGGTTTGACATTTTTGCCTTCAGAGAATTTGCTTGTGGTATGCTCTGATTACCGAGTACTTATGTTGATGAAAGCCTTCTTTTGAATGTTTGGTTGGAAATTGTTTAGAGAATCTTTGAAGAAAAGCTAGATATTTGACAGTATTTGGAAGGGAATCAAAACTTTAGGCTGCTCTATAATATCTGTTATTGTCTTGTTCATTCTTTCTAATTAGTTCAGCAGTTCTTGTACACGTGCTTTTCATTTTTCAATAATAAAAAAACTTTTTCTTATTTTCAAGTGAAAAATAAGTCCAGAAACAGAAAAGATAAGAAACATGTATCTCGAAAAAAAAAAAAAATTCTAGGATAATTAAAAAACTATTAGAGAAATGAAGGACTTATTGAGAACCAAATATAAGAAACCATCTGAAATGAAGAAGCATGATAAGTAAATAAACGGATACCAAACCCATTCGAAGAATGAGCAGATGAGGAAAAAGTGGCCACAACTGACTCTTCAACAGTAAAGCTAGATCTATAGACAGGCTTTTGGACCATGTTCTTTTGGTTGGGTTATTATGGTGATTTTTTTTTTTTTTTTGCTTCTTTCAAATCTGTACTCCTTTTCTTTTGTGCCAACTGAGGTTATGTAGCTTCCTTATCACGGGGGTTGGCTTTCTTACCCTATTTTCAATTTCCTATCTTCTAGGAAATGCATTGTGTTTCTTATTGGGTAGAAAACAAAAAAAAAAACAAAACAAAAAGAACAAAGAACAAGTTGCAGCATCAGATTTCAAGATGAATAAGCATATTTAAGATGAGAGAGAATTTCATAAGATGCTGTCATTTTGAGAAACACAGAAGATCACGTTAATTACTTTCCTAACTTTTCATAATACATTAGTTCTGGACACTGTTTCTGATAACCGAATCACTATGTGCTTTCTTTGTTTCTCATATTTTCACTGTTCTATTAATTAAGACCTACACCAAAGTTCACAGAAATTTCTTACAAGTTTTCTGACCTCTAATTTCAACAGTTCCGAGTTGTAATTTTAAACATAGTGAATGTATGTTAAGAGTATTTTTATTTTGGAAGATGAAGAAGTTAAAAGCTGTGGTATTCTGCACATTAAAAAGTTTTGTTGAACACTTGTTTAGGTTTTTCTTATTCTTATCTTTTTATTTTAATGATGTTTGATTAATCACTTATAATTATTGCGGTTGATATTTGATTTACTGATCCCCACTTTCAGGGGCTTCTACTGAAGCGCTTAAATAGTCTACTTCCATTAAGAACATGCTCAGATCTGGAAGGCCTTTAACTCGTGCTAAAACTGATATTGGACATTTTTAATGGATAAATTTGAAATAGTCATCTCTGCTGGCATGAACTTGTACAAAAGTTGTGAAAGGGGATGGTCCTAAATCTTTTGGTTTTCATTGACTGTTCTTTAATGAGTTGTTATGGTTACCTTCTAATACCTTCCTCTTTAGCAGGGAAAGAAATGGGGTGGATGCTGGGGTGCATTATCTTGTTTTCACTCGCAGAAAGGAGAAAAGCGCATTGTACCTGCATCTCGTTTACCTGAGGGAAATGTTGTGACAACCCAGCCAAATAGACCTCCAGCAGCCGGAATGGCCATCCAGGCTACAGTGATAGATCCATCCCTACTAGCCCCACCTTCTTCTCCAGCATCCTTTACAAATTCTGCACTCCCTTCAACAGCCCAATCACCGAGCTGTTTCTTGTCGATGTCTGCCAACTCACCTGGAGGTCCTTCATCGACAATGTTTGCTACAGGGCCATATGCACACGAAACACAGCTGGTTTCGCCTCCTGTTTTCTCAGCCTTCACCACTGAACCGTCAACTGCTCCACTCACTCCCCCTCCAGAACTAGCTCACCTGACCACACCTTCTTCCCCCGATGTGCCGTTTGCTGAGTTCCTATCCTCATCAGTGGATCTTAAAGGAACAGGAAAGGAAAATTACATTGCTTCAAATGATCTTCAAACTGCATATTCTCTCTACCCTGGAAGTCCTTCCAGTAGCCTCGTGTCACCAATTTCAAGGACCTCCGGTGATTGCTTATCATCATTTCCTGAAAGGGACTTCCCACCGCAGTGGAATCCTTCAGTTTCTCCCCAAGATGGAAAATATCCTAGAACTGGTTCCGGTCGGCTATTTGGACATGAGAAAGCTGGTACATCTTTGGTATCTCAGGATTCTAATTTCTTCTGCCCTGCTACATTTGCACAATTCTATCTGGACAATCCACCATTCCCTCATACTGGTGGTAGGTTAAGTGTATCAAAGGATTCAGATGTTTACTCGCCTGGTGGGAATGTACTCCAAAATCGGCACAATAAGTCTCCAAAACAAGATGTGGAGGAACTAGAAGCATACCGAGCATCGTTTGGTTTCAGTGCAGATGAAATTATAACTACTACACAATATGTGGAGATATCTGGAGTAATGGAGGATTCCTTTACTATGAAGCCTTTCACTTCAACTAGTCTGTCAGCAGAAGAAAGTTTTGAACCATCATTGTTGGCTGAAAATCTAAATTCCGCACATACAACCTTACAGAGTCTGAGGAGAATTAAATCACCACCTGATGTTGTCCAAAAGGATACCTGCACTGAAGTGCTGGCATTATGCACTGTTTATGAAGGTGAGCTGCTGTTCCCTGTTACTATGTGCATACACTTGTTCCATAAAATGAGAAGTCGAAAGAAAGTAAACACGTAAATGTGGTTTGGTAAACGTGTTCAAAATGTCAAATATTAGAATTTTACTATATATTTCTTTTTCACTGCGAGTGAGGGGAATAGAAATGTGGAAGTATAATGAATATTAACTGTAGTTTTTCTTCCCCTGCGAGCTATTAATTTAAACTGTTACCCACAATTCTGATACCGTAAATAGTTACAATTGTCACCTGTTTGATGCAGATAATAAATTGCAAAGACAACCTGGTAACATGTCAGGATCAAGTACCTTAAACCAAGTTGGATCAGATGTATTTTCAAGGATAGGGCCATCAAAAAATAGTCGGAAGTATAATCTTGGTTTATCCTGCTCTGATGCGGAAGTTGACTACAGAAGAGGAAGGAGCCTAAGAGAGGCCAAGGGAGATTTTTTATGGCATGACTAAGAGAGCCATCTCTGCTAGTTTACAGAATGTTTATCTTGTCTCACTCGATGGTTTAACGATATAGTTTGTGTTCCTTATCGTGCCAATTTATGGAATGGATCGAATTTCTGTATTTGGTTGATGAAGTTTACTTTTTTTCAATTAAAAATGATACAATCTGCTTGCATGTTCTGTACAACCGTCGTCAGTGGGTGGTTGTTAAAAGTTAGGTCAATGATCGAGGTCAACAATAAGGCTTCTTTAGAGTCGAAGATTGCTAAAATATCATGTTAGAAGTTAGGGTTGCACCAAAAGCAGGTGGCTGTTGTAAACAAACCAATAGATTCACTACACGCAAAAACCTCTTCAAAAAAGAGCTTCAAATCGAGTGATGGCAAATGACAAAATACTGCTTTGAATCTCTTATTAATACTCGATTTGATCGGCTCTCGCAAGTTTCTTGTAGTTCAAGCCGCATATAGAGATTCGGATTCATTTATAGTAAATTAGCACTAACCTCTAGAGCTTCATTAGCATAGCGACAGTATTCAATCTGAAATTCAAATTACAAAAAAACATAGACGGCAACTAAAAAACATAATAATGATGACGAATTCAAATATTGTACTTCTTTTATTTGACGGTGTTTTACGAGCAACGGAGATTGCAGATTAAGAAGCTTTGCTGCTTCTGCCACCGAAGCTTCTTCTTCCTCTAGTGAAGAACAGTATTCTTCGACAGATCAAAATAATGACTCGGAAGCGACAACACAAATGAAGAAACGAGAGATTAGGGTTTCAGGGTTTAGGGTTTAGGGTTTTAGGGGTTGGGGTTTAGGGGTTTAGGGTTTAAGGTTTCAGGGTTTAGGGTTTAGGGTTTTAGGGGTTGGGGTTTAGGGTTTTAGGGGTTGGGGTTTAGGGGTTTAGGGTTTAGGGTTTCAGGGTTTAGGGTTTAGGGTTTTAGGGGTTGGGGTTTAGGGG